TTAGGGTGATTACCTAGGACACATGCTGAGTCTTAATATATGTGCATCTTAAACTTTGGAGTGATTTCACAATATTTTGTGCCTAATGGCACATTTCTTAGAACATGTCTTTGTCATTTAGTATATGTCTACAAGGTCCATTTAGTCTAAAGTATAGATCAGATCCAGTGTTTTCTTAGTGATTTTCTGTTTGGATGATCAATCCATTGTTGAAAGTGGGGTTTTTCCTCCTAATGGTTTCTATTTCTTTGTTGAACTTCCCATTTTGTTTATACATTGTTTTCCTAATTTTGCTTAGTTGTCTGTTATTGTAGTTCACTGAATTCCTTTAAGAGGATTGTTTTGAATTCTTTGTTAGGCAGTTAATAGATTTCTATTTCTTTAGGGTTAGTTATTGAAGCTTTATTCCTTTCCATCGGTGGTGTCATGTTTACCTAGTTTTTTGTGATCCTCGTATTCTTGCGTTGGTATCTGCTCATGAGGAAGCAGTCTCTTTTCCAGCCTTTACCTGTTTGCTTTGGTAGGGAAAGCTCTTCACCAGTCAGCTCAGCTTGGGATTCTGGATGGGCAGGTGGTAGAAGCCTTGCACAAGCAGTGCTTGCCCTCAGGATCTCTAATTGGATGGGGCCACTGCCTGTGCTCTGAGGTACTAGGGAGGGTGTTATTGTTCTGCAGTCAGTGGACCTGATGACTGATCTCTGCATTCAAGCAGAACCAGTGGCTGGGGTCTGTATTCAGGCAAGGCTACTTGCTGGGCTCAGCAATCACCTCTGGTTGGGCAGGGTCATAGGCTGTGTTCCCTGGAAGGGCAGAGTAGTGCTGTTGATTGTACTCTGCAATTGGGCAGGGCCGCATGCTGGGCTCCGCAATCACCTCTGGTCAGGCGAGGCCCCAAGCCATGCTCCCTGGCTTGATGGGGTCATTGGCAGGATTCTACATACATTCAAGGCCATAGTGCAATTAAATGGGACCTCAGGCTGTGCTGTTTGATCAGATGACACTGTAGGCTACACCTCAAAGTTGAGCAGGGCTGCAGACTGGGATCCGCAATTGAGCACGCTGCTGGGCCTGTGTTCCGCTCTTTGACGCTGTCTCTTGCTGGATTTCCTGTTTAGGCAGGGCTACCATCTGTACCCCGTAGTTGGGTGGAGCTGGAGGTTTTGCTCCATAATTGGACTGAGTTGCTTTCTGGGTTCATCGGTCAGTTAGAACCATAGACTGTGCTTTAAGATTAGGTGGCATGGTTAACTGAGTCCTCTCCTTGGGTGAGTCTACAGATTATGCTTAGCAATTGGATGGGGCCATTGGCAGTACTATGCTGCTGGACAGGACTATAGGCTGGGCTTCCCTGCTGGTCAATACCATAAGCTGGACTTTGAGGCTGCCCAGGGTCACTGCCTGGGTTTCCTGGTCTGGCAGAGTCAGTGGTCATGATCCACAGTTGGGCAGACTTGGCTCTCTGCCTCAATGGGGCTGTAGGATAGGCTCCAGAGTTGGCCGTAGTCTCTGGTTGGGCAACCTGGTGAGGCGGGGGCTGGAGGCTACGCTCAACAGTAGGGCAGTACTGCTGCTTGGCTTCCTGCCTGGAAGGGTCTGTAGAATTAGCTCTGTGGCTACCTTGGGTCCTTGGCTAGGTTTCCTGGTCAGGTTGGGCTGGGGGCTATGCTTAGCTGTTGGGTGGGGCTTTTGCTTTGCTTTCCTGCTCTAGCAGGCCATAGGATGTGCTGTGCAGCTGCTTGCATCTTTGGCCAGTGACTTGCTTCCCTACTTGTTGGTCTGTAGGATGTGCTGCATGGTTGTCCTGCATCTTGGGCCAGGCTTCCTACTCCAGTGGGGCTGGAGGCTATGCTCAGCAATTGCTCTAGAATGAGCTCCTAGACAGCCCTCTGGCTGGTGACCCAAACTAGGCAGAACACCCAGTTAAACTCCCTATCCAGTTGGAGCCACTGGCTCAGCTATGCAAATGATGAGAGCCTCTGATTGGAATCTTCTCTGAGGCCCCACCACTGGCAGGAACAGTTTGCCAGATCTGTGCATTTGTTGAGGGCCCCCTGCCCCCTTCTCTGTCTCTAGCTGACTTTCCCAGTAAGCCCTGAGGCATACTTATGTGGACCTCCCAGGAATCATCCAGAATGCTAGGGAAGCTTGATGTCCACCTTGTGCTCTCCTTTTTCCAGTGGAGAAACTATAGACCCAGGGGGACCCCCTTCCTGCAGCACTGCAGTGACCTGGGGGAGGAGTAATGTGACCAAAATGAAACTGCTCCTCTCCCATCCTAATGTAGTTTTCCTCTGGTTTTGTAGTCCAAGGGATGGCTTTAGCCTTACTTCTGTATTCTGGGATCTTCACAAAGGTATTTTGTCTATGAATAGTTGCTAGTTGCCCTTCCCCTGATAGAGAACCACCTGTTTTGCCCTCTATCTGACATTAGTCTCCTGATTCAAGTTTTATTAAACCGTTGTTTCATCGATTGTGTGTAGATTTTTATTTGTTTCAGGCATAATGGTAAATATGATCTCTGTTATTGCATCTTGGCCAGATGTCCCATCTATTTTTTACATAGTGAGTATGATTTAAAAAAACACAATTCCCTAAATATTCAGATAGAGACTGTTCTTTGATTGACTTTTCAAATTGGGGTGTGGAAAGAATGATTCTATGTGTACGTTTTCTTTTTTCATCAGGTTCTCCATTACTTTTCTATCTACAGTTTATCCACAGTTGAGTTAGATTATTGTATATAATAATGTAATATAAATCACTAATACATTTATGTTTTATTAGAATTAAATTATGTTTAGTAGTTAATGGAACTCCGCTGAAAAGATCTTATGCTATTTTTCATGCTTGTTTCCTCCTAATGTTATTCCACCAATATGTGAAGAAATGAGATAAAAAGGAGAACTTAGACATATCTATTTTTTGAAATTTTGTGTCCCTGAAGTATGTTCTAGAAAAGGACATCCTTGTCCTGTGGCATATTGCTGCCAAAATAAATTTCAGTAGGTAATAGTTTTATTCTGTTTTCAAATTATTTCTTAGAAACCAGTCATCTAATTCAGAAAGAAATTAAGAGCCAAGTTTTAAAAACTATATACCAAGAAATGCCTCATTTATGAATGTATACACATTTGTGCTCATAAATTGGGTAATTGTGCACCTAACAACTCTATTCATTTTATCATTATTCACTTTGTGTGTATGAAAATGAAGGCTTTTTAATTCAAGTTCTGTGGCCTGGTACACTCATGATTGGGGCATGGTTATTTTTCATGCTTCTGTTCAGTGTTAATATATACAATTTCACGGAAAATTATAGAATACCTTATTTACTCTGGTATAGCTATAACAAGAGGTTCTTTACTTAACATGTATTCTGAAGTGGTGTAGGTAATTAATAGTTAATTTGGTTTCATCTGTTATATAAAACATGTTAGAAAAGGTATAAAAAAATCTGTATTTGAGTCTTTGCATCAGAGGACTAAGTTGACATCTGAATTGAAGTTCTGTGAAGTGTAATTTAAAACTTAAGTTTCCTTGACATGATTGTGATGGTTAAAATAGATATCCTAGATGTTTTGAGATTACAGCTCATCTCTAAAGTGACTGAGCCCAGAAACAGTAGTTCTGATAAAGTTTATTGACAAACACTGTGTTAAGTACTCTTATAAACATTTTCTCATTTAAATAGATTTTAGTAGAAAAATTAGTCATTGTTTAATCTAAACAATAACTCTGCAAATATATATATAATGTTTGTATGTATGTATTAGTTTTTTATTGCTTCTGTAAAAGATACCAAAGACTTTGTGGCTTAAAACAATAGAAATTTATTTTCTTATATTTGGGGGGTGGGGACAGAAGTCTGAAATGAGTTTCACTGAGGCAAAACCAACTGTTTTATCAGGGCCACAGTCTCTAGGGAAACTCTAAAGGACAATCTGTTTCTCCTTGCCTTTTGTAACTTCTAAAGGTACATTCCTTGCATTTGTTGCTCATGACCCCTTTTTCTATTTTTAAAACTGATAGCCACACTAACTTCTTGTCTTTTGTAGTAAAATCTTCCTCTGCCTCCCTCTTACAAGAGCCCCTGTGATTACAATTTTGGCTAACCTGGATAATGCAAGACTGTCTCCCCACCCGAAGATCCTTAACTTAGTCACGTGTTTCTAGTTTCTTTTGTCATATAAAGAAGCATTCCAGGATTAGGATGTAAATATCTTTTATGGCCAAAATGGAGCACAGAATACTGCCCCAAATAAAAAACAAACAAAACATGTTAGAAACGATTACAGTTGGGAAGGAAGTTTTATAGATAGATTGCTTATATAAGCAAGAGATCCTGGATTCCCTCTGCTGTGTTCCAACATTTTGTGTTGTTGACTGATTTTTTTGTTTCTGATACAAACAAACAGGACATTAATCTTCAGTTTTTTCCTGATATACTTTATCTTCTACTCTTGTCTTACCTTATGAAACCAATGCTTAGTAATATAAGGTCACGAGTTCATGAATTAGAGCACAGATTTACACAGCCTGATATTATGCTTAATTTAGAAATAATTTATATTTGATATTTGAACATAGTCAACATGTTCAGATGTGTGTTTTCTTATTCCCTTTAAACCTTTTCGTCACCCTCTCCTTCACCTTTGTTATCCTCAACACCAATGAAGGATTGACCACTTTGCTACTGAAGGCAAAGTTTTTCTAAGCAATATGATGAGAGCTTTTAGGAGAGAGTTCTAAAGGTTCCTTAAGTCCGAGAAGATCTCAGAGCTAGATTATTTTTTTCTGCTTTTGTTCAGTATCATTTCAGTGTTTACGTTTTATTGTATACCTTTGGAGAGAAAATTTCATTTGGTACTTCTAATATATTATATGGTTCAGTGACTTCTGGAGTTACCAATAAGTATGTTTTAGCATGTAACTTTAGGAAGCATGTATTTTGTTGAGTAATTTATAAGCTAAATGTTTACATCTTCTTCCCTGAACTACAGGATACCAGAAGGCCCTATGGACCAGGGGCCAGCTTCCGGAAGAATTCGTGCTTTAGAAGAGCAGCTTGTGAAGGCCAAAGAACAAATTGAAAATTATAAGAAACAAACTAGAAATGGTAAGTGATTATACAGTATATTTTCTCTTCAATATATTGATATTAGCACTAATAACTGAAAACTTCCTTTCATTAAAGTATTGGAAATGCTGTACTCTCAATTCTTTGACTGCAGGTCTGGGGAAGGATCACGAAATCCTGAGGAGGAGAATTGAAAATGGAGCGAAAGAGCTCTGGTTTTTCCTACAAAGCGAACTGAAGAAACTGAAGAACTTAGAAGGAAATGAACTCCAAAGACACATAGATGAATTTCTGTCAGATTTGGGGCATCATGAAAGGTACTCTTTTTACTTTACATTTCATTTGGGCTTTAGTAAAGATTATAGTCTAAGAATGGGAAACTGGAACTTTCGGTCATTGCCCTGCTGAATGGTAAATGATAACCTACCATATTTGGGAGCAGGAGAATACCCGAGATCACAAAGGACAATAATTGCCAAATGTAGTTCATCAGCTGGTAAATATTATTTAAAATACATTTCTAGAAATCTCTATATCCTAAGTAAACTGTGAAGGTAGTGGTGTCAGCCAAAAATACATTGGAAATCTTCCTGTAAATTTCCTTCATATATAATCGATATTTGAAGTGGAGTCTGCAGTTTTATATTACAATATACTGGAACTCATGCTGAGGCTGGCAATTATGTTTCTAATTCAAATATTAAAATCTTTAAAATAGCCTCTTTTTAGGGTTTCTAATTAAAGATTAACAGGTTTTTGATAAAAGGAAGCATTTTGTTTATTGTTCTTCCATTTAGTTGCAAGAAAGAAGAACCTGAAATCTGCCTAATTAAGTTCGTTTCTTCTGTTTGCACATTTTTGAAAATGTGCACTTTATATTACATAGAAAAGAAAACATTTTAGTGCTAGTTTATTCATGCAGGGCAAAATGTGTCTGATGATCATTATAAATACAGTGAAAACCATCCTTAGCCCTATTATATTTATAAGTCTATACTCCCAGTAGGATTGTGATGGCAATTACTGTCTCATTTGTGAACAATAAATGAAAAATTGTTGTATTAACATAACCTACCACTGTGAAGAGGAAAAGAGTTACCCTACAACCACAGGATTCATATATATTAACATCATTAGCAATATTATAGCGATTTTGAAATATTGCTCTGCTATTTAAGTGAAATTACAAATAAAATCGATCAGTTTATTGGAATCATTTTAACATTAATAAATCTATAGAAATAAGACAATGTGAAATTCAAGGGGCATTGAATTATTATTCCACACATTCAACAGACCCTTTGAACTTTTTTGCCTAGTCTGCAATTAAGTAGTTGTTAGATCATTAGACCAAATGATGACTAATTCTGCCCTTAATGCTTCTCTACCTTAAAGCTGATTCTAGACACCAAGATTCTGTTAATTGGAACTGTGTGCTTGCGTGCTTTACTTATTTCAGTTTCATAGGAAAATCCAAATCTGAAGAGGATTTGAGTTGGGTAGACTATGCGATATTTAAAGGAAAATTTTGACTGTTGACTTCTGATGGAATGTTTAAAGTTTGGGTGATTTAATTAAATTGAGAATTTAATTTTTAGGTCTTCTCTAAATCAAAGTAATTATTTAAAGAATATTTTGTGCATATGTCCTGTTACTATATGTAGAAACACTGTACAAGTGTACAAATGGAAAAAGTCAGGCCCTGAATACTTAATGTAAATCAATGTTAAATTTTTTGTAAGTTGAATTATGATTCCTGACACTGCCTTTTAGTATATGTTACATAATAATATTTCACAGAAAACAAAAATGGAAAGGTACCCAAAGTATAAAGGCCAATTTCTTTTGCTGTCTTTTGCAGAAATTATAATGAACTTGGGACACAACTTCACAGGGTAGTAATTTAACTCCAGGCAGCCAGATTAGAATGCTGGTATAAATAATGAGCAACGCACCACCAAACATTAGAGAAATAACCTTTGATGAATGTACAAATAGAGAAGATTTGTATATATCTAGAATATGCCATCTTACTGATAATTTTCAGAGTCCTTAAGTGTAAGAATTAAGACAGACATTTATGCTTGCCTCTGATGATTTTTACATTATACAAAAATCTTTATTTCATTTTTATACTTGCCCAGATGATAGTGTCTAGGTTGTCTCTGGACTGAAAGCCTATGTTCTCTGAGAAATCAGAGGTTGTCTATCAGTTTTGCTCAGATTTCCCTATGAACCATTCATCATATTTTGGCTCAGAAAGACAACAGTTATAGGGTAAAAACTTATGGGCTTTTATTTCTTCAGAAGGGGTTTCTTTCTTTCTTAGAACTTTGTCTGATAGAAACACCGGTTCTCTTTTTCTTTCTTTCTGAATCAACTTTATTGCAGCATAATTTATATATGATAAAATGTACATGTTTTAGTCTATAGTTCTATGAGTTTTGACAAATGTTCACAGTTTTGGAACTACCACCATAGTCAATATACAGAACATTGCTACTGCCCCAAGAAATTTTATCATGCCCCTTTGTAATCAGCACCTCCCCCACTGCCAGTCCCTGGCGGTAACCAGATCTGTTTCCTGTCCATATAATTTTGCCTTTTCCAGAATTTCATGTAAACGCAAACATACACTATGTAGCTTTTTGAGTGTGGTTTCTTTCACTTGGCATAATGCATTTGAGATTCACGCATGCCGTTTTGTGTATTGATAGTGCTTTCCTTTTTATTGCTAAGCAATATTCCATTGTATGGATATATCACAGTTTGTCCATTCACCAGTTGAAGGCCATTTGGTTTGTTTTTCATTTTTTGTTGATTATGAATAAAGCCACTATAAACAGTAACATACATATTTTTGTTGAAACATGTTTTTATTTATTTTGGATTAATACATAGGAGTGGGATTGGTGGGTCATAAGTTGAATGTATGTTTAATTTTATAAGACACTGTTAAACTGTTTTCCAAAGTTGCAAACTATTTTGCATTGTCACCAGCAATGTATAATAGTTCTAGTTGTGCTGTATTTTTGTCTGCACTTGGTGTTCTCAGTTTTTACGTCACCCCCACCCCCCACCACCATTCTCATAGCAGTATAGTGGTATATCATTGTGGTTTTAATTTGCATTTCCTTACTAATGATGTTGAGCATCTTTTGATGTGTTTATTTGCCATCCATCTACCATTCTTAGTAAAATGTTTATTTAAATCACATGCTTAATTTGGGGGGGAAATTGTTTTATTATTGAGCTTGAAGCATTCTTCATCTACCTTAGATACAAGTCTTATTGATGCATTTTAGAAAGCTTATTTTGAAAGCCATGTGAAAGAAAGCCTGGTGCCAGGAAATTAGAAGAATTTTGCACAAGTACACATACGTGATAATAAGCTTCTGGACTTGCGTAGTTGCAATAGGGATATAGAGAAAGGGATAAATGTGTGAAAAATAGAAGCTCCAAGACTTGGTAATAGATCTTATGTGGGAAGATGGGGGAGTCAGAAGTAATTGAGGACTTGAGTTTTGCTAGAAGGATAGCTTTCATAAATGGAGATTATTGTTTCTTGTATACTAATTTGGCTTTTCTCCGTGACAAATCGTAATCCTCTGAGAACTGCAACTCTTAACTTAAACACCTTCTCTATCCCTCAGTGCTAGGTACTCACTATTTAGTTAGTGTTCAGTGAGCTATGTCTTTTTTATTGGGTGAGGAGGCAGGTGTGTGCATTCTTTGATTATTCCACACTCTACTTTGTGTATTTCTGTAAAAGCAAAGTCTTATTCCAGTGAAGGATTTATGAAAATTATTCAACTTAAGAAAACTATGTAATTGAGGTCAAAATATTCTCCAGTAATTGAGAATCCTAAGAGTTGTGAAGATGAGGTTACAGGAGAAAAAATATTTGCCCTGAATAAGCCTGGAAGCTCTAGTTAATTTCAACTCCAGATAGCCAGAGTTCTGCAAAAGAGAGAGTATCTGTTAGAAGTCTACTCATGTATAGAGGAGGAGATGGAGGGCAGATCATGCCAATAGGAAGCATGGGGTTAGAAGAAAACCTGACACTGAAGGATTTTTTTGTATTCGATACTCTTGACTTCATGTTTGATTCACTTTGGAGGACTTAGTGATCCCTGTATTTAAAAGTAGTCTTAAGACACAGTTATACATGAATCCCTAAAAATAACATAGTGTTTCCGACCTGGAGTGTAATTCTGATGCTAAGCAATGGAGGGAGAATGGACTTTCTTTTAATTGAATGTGCATAATAAAAAATATTGTTACTTACTAAATATATCTAATCATTTGTTTACAGTTCATGTGACTTTAACTTTAATAAGTATTAGTTCCTTCATTTTGGGGTTTTCTTTCCTGAATTACATCTGTTCTGTGCTGGCCCTCAGGGAATTTCTCTCTTTTACATTTTGAGTCAGGTATAAGCAAAAGACTCTTCTTGTGGTTCTTCAATGGCATAACTGAGATAGAGTAGGACATTTAAAAGGAGTTTTGTGAATGTTAAAATATAAAAATGGGAAATTTAACAGAAAATACAAAGAACATAAATGTAGCCCAGCTTTTGAAATAGAGGATTTGTTGCCTGACATAGCTGGCTTGCTGTTAGTCATAGAAACTGTTATATTTTACTCTTGTCTTCAGGCACCTGCACTCTACCCTCAAATGGCTAGCACTGTTCTGCTGGTACTTTGTCTGGGTTTGTATTTCCCAGACTTTGACCTGGCCTCATACCAAGCCTTTAGATTTACCAACCACCTTCTATTTTTTTTATTTTTATTTTTTATTTTCATAGTCAAAACCAAGATAGCCAGATTTCCAGCTTTTGGGTCGCCTTTAGGAGATTTGATTTCAGAGTGGAGTCACTGAAGACCGAGCATTTCTGTAGAATGGTTTTCAGTCACTGCGTTTACCAATAATGAGCCACAAATAAAACTTTCTGTTTGATTATTCTCAAGTCTTTGGCCAAAAGATGATAAATTGTGCAGGATGGTAACTTCTAAACATTATTGAATCATCAAAGAACTAGTTTGAATTTAACGTCATCTTCTGGACTTGTCTTCCTTACATGATCTCAGATGGGGAGGCCAAGAAAAAAATATTTAAAAAGCAAACTTAATTTTAGTTGACTGTTGTGTGCTGTGTGTATGTGTGTGCTGGCTTTCTAGTTATATGTTTGGCTATTCCATTTCTAGACAGATTGGGATGCATATGAATAATTAATTGCCAAGACTTAGTACTGCTGTAACTTGGTAAAAACATTTACTTTTATGTTTTCACTGTTCTAATTTATTAAAAAGTACTGAGATGAGCTTCATTCCCAGTGGTAAAGGAATGGATTGATTACTATGATATGAAAGCATAAGCCATGCTGATTTTTATATTTCAAAGAATTTTTTTCTCCAAATTAGATTGAATGTAGTTTTTACCTGCTTGAGGCTATATAATTATTGCCAGTGAAATGTAGTGCTGTTTGTCTATGTTTATGTATATGTTTAATGTAAAGCCATGCAAAGCATATTGAATTTCCTTTTTTCCTTGAACAGGCATTTGCTGATAGACTGGTTATTTATCTCACTGTACTACATCTCCACAAATAATACTGCTATTTAAAGTTGAGGCTTGCACAAGTTTTTTAAATTTTTTAATCCTTACCCGAGGATATTTTTTCCATTGCTTTTTAGAGAGAGTGGAAGGGAAGGAGGGAGGAGGGGAGAAAGAGAAACATCTGTGTGAGAGAGACACATTGATTGGTTGCCTCCTGCACGAGCCCTGACCGGGGCCTGGGAACCTACAACCCAGATACATGCCCTTGACCTGGAATCAAACCCCAGACCCTTTGGTGCATGGGCTGATGCTCTAAACACTGAGCCACACTGGCCAGGGTGCAAAAAGTTTCGTGATCACTTCTGTCGGATGGGTAAGAAAAATCAAATGACCATGTTTGGATATGACGAAACCCATGAAATATAAATAATAAGTGTGATGAGATTGATAGGAAAGAGACTTATAAAACTGAGAAAATAATTTAAATAAATTTCCAGCTTAGCCCTATAACACCATTATTATTAAAGACTGCTTGTGTGTTTCCATGATCAACTCACGCAGTTTCCTGTGGGTGATGACTTTTTCCCCAGTAAGTGCAGGCTGCATAATAGTTCATAGGGGCCTCAGTTTTGAAATTTGGAAAAACTTAAAAGTTAAACCTCTCTATTCAGTGTGTGTGTAAGACTACAAGTTAATTTCATAAGGAGCCAGTAAGTTGTAGATTTGTTTTTTTCCAACTAAAATTACTCTTTTTCATAAATAGAAAATGTTTTGGATCTTAGGTGAGAGTAATAATATAAAAAAGATAAAGCATGACATATTAGACTCTCACCCTGTTTAAAAGCGTGCACATGGAAATAGTAAAGCTGTGAAGTATCCTGTGTGTGGACAATGTTGACCCATTAAAGAAAGGCCTAAAATGCTTCACAGATGACCCTGTTGTTCCAGAGCACTGTGAAAGCTGTTCTACTGTTAGCTGGGTAGATATTCTAAACTGGGGCTATGATTTTTAATTTTATTTGTATATTATTAATAGCTTTGCTTTATTCAAAGGGGCTATTATCAAGTATTCTCTGTTAGTTGTGTATAGTTCTAATTTTTTTATGATAGTAAATAAGACTTTAGTTTTCCTGTGGTGACCAGTGTTTTGTTACTCAATGGTTTAATCTAGTTAAGAGCCAGGAATAAAAGTGAACAAACTATGTCATGTACTCTTAGATAAGTTGCTCTTGTTGAGAGCTGGTTTCATCATCTGCTAAATGAGTCCTTGCTGATCAATCTCCTTCTTCAGGGTGCTATAAGGCAGTGGGTTTTGGATTATTTTCTGATTTGCCTTCGGTACCACATATTACTCTCACACCCAGTGGACCCTTCCTCTTAGTTGTAGACTTGTTCGTAGATACTCTTTAGAAGCGAGGTAAAAGCTCTGAAACAATTCTGAGGCATTTTAGTATAAATAACAATGTCTTAGTCTGTTCAGGCTGTTATAACAACAATGCCAAAGACTAGGTAGGTAGCTTATAAACTACAAAAATGTATTTGTCATAGTTTTGGAGTCTGGGAAGTCCAAGAACAAGGCGCTGGAAGATTTGGAGGCTGGTGAGGGCCTCTTTCTGGTTCATAGACAGCTCCTTCTCGTGTATTCTCACATGGTGGAAGAGGTTGGGGAGTTCAGTGGGGTCTCTTTTATAAGAACACTAATCCCAACTGGGGACAGGGAACCTGCAACCAAGGCTCGTTGCCCTTGGCTGGAATCAAACCTGGGACCTTCAGTCCACGGCACTGAGCCATGCAGGCCAGGGCATCATTGTTGTTCTTATTATTTAACATTACAGGCCTATTTTCTTTAAATAGTTTTTTTATCCTCAAGCCAATGCTTTATGTTTTTAGTTAATACCATTTTCATAGGTGATTTCTAGAAGTGTATGTATGATATATTTTATTTATATATATACTTTTCTGACAAATAGAAATAAGTTTTTAACTTATAATTTTCACAAGCAAAAACACATACATATAAGCAATTCTTTAACAGAAGCGTTAACACAAAGTGTGGAGAAGAGTGTAGAGAAGTGATGAAGGTGGAGCTGTAACTAGTAAAGATTATTCCCCAAACCTTTCTCCCACAAAATTGAATTTGTGAAAGGTAAAAATTATCAACATTATCTCATTAAAATTCTTGAAATTTTTCTTTTGCTACTTTTTCATTCACTTACCTACTCAAAGGTACTTATTGTACATTTTCTATGCAGCTGGTTCCATTATAAATGGTGATTAAAAAGAAAGCGGTTTTTTAAAAAACCTCTGCTCTCAGGGGCTTAAATTTTAGTAGGGGGACAAAAATATAATAAAGAGGTAATGATGTATGTGCAAGATGATAACAGCTTAAAGAAAATAAAGCGGGGAAGAAAAAGGGAAAATCAAAGGGTGATGATGGTGATTGGGTGTTGAATTTTTAAGTGAGATAGTATGGGAAAGCCTCATGGAGAAGGGGACATATGAAGGACATTTGGGTGAGCCATGTGGATGGATCCTGGAAAGGAGCATTCCAGGGGATGGAAGAGCAAATGCACAGACCCTCAAGTAAGAACATGCCTGGCATGTTCAAGGGGTAATGTTGTTGGCTGAAGTAGAATAAGCAAGGAAGACAGTAGTAGGAGATGAAATCAAAGAAGTAATGGGGAATGTAGGTCAAACTTTGGATTTGACTGAGTGGGATGAAGATCCCATTCAATGCTAATAGCAAAGGAGTAACCTTATATGACTGACTGTTTAATAGAATATGGCTGCTCTATTGAGAGTAGGCTGTAGAGATAGGCAAGGGTGGAAGCAGGGTATAGACCTATTCAAAGGCTACTGAAATAATGCAGGCGGGAAAAGATGGTGGCTCAGTTGATGACTTAGTGCTGACTGGTAGCAATGCCAGTGGTGATAAGTGGTTGGAAATTGACTAAATGTTTGCTAATAGATTGGTGGAGAGTATAAGAGAAAGAGAGAAGTCTTGCTTTTTTATGGTAAAGGTAAGTCATGGCTTTTATTTAGTGCACTATAAATGAAACCATCTGCACCAGCCCTAAACTTTCTCTTATAATGTACTGAGCATTTTAGTTTACTTTGTAGGAAATCCAGCATGTTATAATTGAAATTACTGATGCTACTCAAAAATGGGAAAGTGTCTTAATAATCATTTTATTAGTTTAGACCAAGAATTTTCAAATTATGGCCCAAGGGCCAAATCTGGCTTATAGCTTGTTTTTGTGAATAAAGTTTTATTGGAACATAGGCACATCCATTTATTTACATATTGTCTATGGCAGCTGTCCTGCTTTAAAAGCAGCAGAGGCCCACAAAGACTAAAATATTTGCTACCTGGCCCTTTATGGAAAAAGGTTTGCTGAACCTTGGTTTAGCCTGTTGTTTAAGTTGTGTCAAAATTTTTCTCTGATCCTTTTCCAGGCACTCAGTGTTAAGTATAAAGAGAAAATTTAAGAGGGTACAGGAAATGACAGTAGAGAAAACAAAAAGGTAGTATTCAAATACTGGCACCAACTTAATTTCTTTCCTTTATGTTTAATCTGCCTTTTTTTTTTTTTGCCATGGATATCCACTTCCCCCTAGTCTCTGTTGTGTTCTTTGTTGGGAAATAAATACAGCCTACTGGCTGAGGGTGAGGGAAGGTAGGTTTTTCTTACCAGTAAGACTAGTTGTTGAATTTCATAGCCTTGATAAAAAATAAAAGATGAGTATCAGCAGCAGTGTGAGCACCAATCTTTATGAAGAATCTGACTCTTATGTTTGCATAATCCTATGATGACGTTCAAATAAGTAAGACCTCCAATGTTTTCTTTCATAGGTCTATAATGACGGATCTATACTACCTCAGTCAAACAGATGGAGCAGGTGATTGGAGGGAAAAAGAGGCCAAAGATTTGACAGATCTGGTCCAGCGGAGAATAACATATCTTCAGGTAAGAAGGTTAGGTTAAGAAATAAACTTCAGTGATGAAGGAAAATCATAATAAAACTAAGAGTTGCTCCTGGCCGGGCATGGCTCAGTGGTTGGGCATTGACCGAGGATCCAGGAGATCCCAGTTCGATTCTCGGTCAGGGCACATGCCCGAGTTGTGGGTTCGAGCCCCAATCGGGGGCGTGCAGGAGGCAGCCAATCAATGACGGCTCTCTCATCATTGACATTTCTATCTATCTCTCCCTTTCTCTTCCTCTCTCTGAAATCAATAAAGATATATATATTTAAAAAACACCAAAAACAAAAACATGAAAGAGTTGCTATTGGTTTTTAGTCTTCCTAGCCCTTACTTTTTGATAGTACTTATTTACTTATTCACTCATTTTACATATTTATTCAGACAGACTCTCTGTGATGCCTTGAGTGGAATACAAAGATGGCTAAAACAAGGCCCCTGCCCTAAAGGGGGTTATTATTATACATGTGCATGTGGTACATGCACACACACACACACACACACACACACAACTACTATGCAAAATAGAAAATCTTCATTTTATACGAGAGATATAGATGAAATCCTCGTTGGAGGAAGAAAATGTTAGGGATAGTTTTGTGGAAAAGGTATTATTTGAACTAAGCTCTAAAGGATAATTAGGTAGGATTTAGACACACAGAATGGAGAAAAGCACACTAGTTGGAGCAAATGATGTGAGCAAGGGTCCATAGTTGGAAAAGGGCAACACAGGAACTCAATGAGATATGGGATATTTTAGTTTGTCTGTAATTTTAGGTTATGTGAAAGGAGGGATGGAAAATAAGCTGGAAAAAGGTGGGTTTGGGAGCCAGATTGCAGAGGTCCTTGGGTTCAGGTTAAGCTTTATGCTTACTGAAATATTTCATTTATTGCATAAAAATCATTTTAATAACAAGTAGGAAAGAAAAATCAAGGGTAAGCCCCAAGGCCCAAGCCCTTTTAAAATTATTCTCTTCATTTTTTGTTGTTCTCTTTTAGTTATTAATACCCATACGCAATCTTACATATTCAGTCTTACATATTTGTGAGGATAGAATTGATTTACTTTTGAATTTTTTTTTCTTCATCTGCCATAAGACTTTTTCTCTTTTGGAGTCACAACCTACTTTTGAAAGGTTTTTACACATGAGCATGGCATGATGAGAGTGCTTTAGTGATATTAAACTGAAAGTACTATTTTGGTTAAACTGTGTTAGTATTGGAAGAGACTAGAGTAAGGAGACCATTTAGGATATGAGGACCATAAAGCAAGTGAGAAATACTGAGGTATGTGGCAGTTTGCATTGGAAGTGAAGAGGCAGGTTTGAGAGAGACTGGGAATACAGAATTGATAGGCCCTTCCAAGTAGGTTAAAGAGATGAAGTCACTGGGATAATGGAGGCATCATTAACTGATAAGGAACTTACAGATAGAATCATTTTCAAGGGGAAACAATGTTAGTAAGTAGAATTCTTTAGCACTCAAGTTGAAATTACCATGCCTCTCCTTTTCACTACTATTGATGGTATACTTTCTGTGTACAATCACTCTGCTTTCCTTTTAAGGTTAACAGCAGAGTATTAGCCAGTGACTGGATTTTATATATTTTAAGGTGCACATTTTCTTATACTTAAATAGGAAAAAATAGAAAGTCAGGTGTTTAAAGAGAGATCATTAAAAACCAAACTCATCTTGGCATGTTGTCTTGGTCTCATACTCCCGTGGCCATTCATCAGAAGTGTCTGTAGAATGAGAAACACTTACCTCCTGTAGAGAAGAAGTAATTATCTCCTATCAACTAGAAACTCATTCAGTGAACTATAAACAGCTGGTGGTGCAGAACTACCATCCTCATTTAAACTGGAAATAACTATGGTGTCTGAGTTTTTTCCATTTCCACATATTTATTAAAATCTTACCCAACAAAATTTCTAATTAAACTATGATTTGGTCATACATAGTTCAGCTCCCCACACTGTAGCTAGAAACTGCTTTAGTTTTTTTTCCTCTTGGTTTTTAAGTGGCCAGGTGCTTTCACCTACAGTGCAAATTTGATCCTCTGTGTGCTGATTTCTCTGGTTCTGTGTTAGGGAATTTCACTTGTAATTCATGCTAATGAATTAAAACTACCTTGGCTTTTTTAATATTTTAGGCTATAGCAAAACAGCATTTCACTTGAACCTTAACTTCAGTTTCAAATATTACTATTTAACAAATTTTTACTTTTTTTTAATCCTGACCCAAGGATATTTTTTCCATTGCTTTTCAGAGAGAGAGTGGAAGGGAGGGAGGGAGGAAAGAGGTGAGAGAGAGAGACATCAACTGGTTGCCTCCCCCACGTGCCCCTACTGGGGAGTGGGAAGCAAACCTGAAACCGAGGTATATGCCCTTGACTGGGCCCTGACCTTCGGTACGCAGGCTGACTCTCTAACCACTGACCCACACCAGACAGGGCTAACAAATTCTTATCTCTATGCTTTTCTTTTTTTTCTTCAAAAAAAAAAAGGAAAGAAAAAGTGATTTTTAATATTCAAGGAGACAGTGAAAGTCTTAGTAGAAAAAAAGTTTTAGAAAAATTATTTTATGTTTTTATTTTGTTTACTTAATATTTATGGTCATTTTTTTTCTATGTATTCTAAAAGTTTTTTAAAGTCAAGGACTGTATTTTTAACACCTTTATTTGTTAGTGGTTAAAGATATCAGTCATGCTTTATCTTCTCTGAATCAAAAATGCCTTCTCTAACTGGAATATTTATTCGTAGTGTATTTTTTAAACATGGCAGCTATTTTAAAAAGAATGATTTTTCACTGGTTTAATGAAATCGATTAGAGAGTTTAATCAGAAGAGTGAGCTGTTTATGTGGTTTTGAAAAAGTGATTACATTGCCTTGGCTGATGTGCCCTAGTTGGTTGGGCATTGTCCCGTGCACCAAAAAGTTGCCTGTTCCATTTCCCATCAGGACACATGTACAGGATCGGGCTCAATCCCCAGTAGGGGGTGTGCAGGAAGCAGCCAATCGATGGTTCTCTCTCACATCGGTGTTTTAAAAAATAAAACAACCCAATATTACATGCTCACTTTATGGGTGAAGAACTTATAAGATAAACATATAAGAGAGTAAGACCTTAAGTGCCCTGACTGGGAATTGAACTGCGATCCTGTGGATCCTAGGTTGATGCTCAACTGCTGAGCCACACCTGGCTAGGCTGTTTATTTGTTTTAAATATGACTTTTACTAGAAATTGGTAGGTTGATAATTTTCTTTTTAGAGAAAACAAACATGTGAAAATGAGGAACAACTATTTTGTTTTTTAAATGAGGATAGAGATTTGTGTTTTGTTTTGTTTCTTCATTTAAAAATAACAGACTAGTTGGAGAAATAGCAAATTCTCTTTTCCTGTATGGATTCCAGTGACTGTGGATGGTCTTTGGAGCAGAAAGTGACCAGGTTACACATGAATGCATTATTGATACTATTAAACATCTCTTTCAGATTGTGGAGAAACCCTCCACTCCAACATAGTATGTGTCTAATTCCATTTTTCTTGGACAGGACAAATTCTTTAAAATACATTTTAGGCCAGAACATAACTGTGAACTTCATTCGTCTGCTAGTACTCTGAGCATGAGATCAAACCAAACATTAGGAGTATTTCTATAGCCCATCAGGGATGAGAAACAAAATAAAACCAGGGGTGGTAATAACTAACTCATTAGGAAAAGTCATTAACTTACCTATATTAAGATATTTGTTAAGTGTTTAAAACGGTTGGAGTGGAAGAAACTTTCAGGATCTTTCCCTGTGTGAAAGAAATTTTTAGCTTGGGATGAGATCAAACAGAGAAAAACAGACAATTTCTGAGAACTAAGAACAGTGTACTGAGAAAGAGAATATCTTACCCAAGATTAAAATATAAACAGGTTCAATGAGGAAAGAACAAGAAGTGGTAAGTGGTTATGGTGGCAAGGGTGTGTGTCTGTGTGTGTCTGTGTGTCTTGTGCCTTGAGTCATCTTGGACTCCTGATGACTCCATGACTGAAGGATGTCCACAGTGTCCTGTCCTCATAGCCCTGCTCAGTTCCTGTGGGTGCATGCCTATGGCTTCTTTTATGGAGTCAATCCATCTTGTTTGTTTTCCCCAACATTATTGCCTTTTCCAAAGAATCCTGCCTCCTCATGATGTGCCCAAAGTTGGACAGCTTCAGTTTTCTCGTTTTTGCCTCCTATAATATTTCAGTCTTAATTTGCTGTAGGAACAACTTGTTCATCTTTCTGGTGGTCCAGGGTATCTGCAGAGTTTTCCTCCAATACCATATTGCACATAACTCCATATTTTTCTATCAGCTTTCTTCATTGTCCAACTTTCACATCTATACATAATAATTAGGAACACAAGAGTATGGCTGATCTTAGCCCTGGTCTCTAATGATACATCTTTGCTTTCGATGATTTTTCCTAATTTTTCCATTGCTGCCCTTCCCAGTCTTAGACTTCTCTTGATTTCTTGGCTGCAGTCTCCATTTGACTTGATGACAGAACCAGGATAAGCAAAATCTTTAGCAGTTTCAATGTCTTCATTATTTATGTTAAAGTTGTGTATTATTTCTGTAGTCATGATTTTTGTCTTCTTGATATTCAGATGCAGTCCTGCTTTGGCCTTTTGTTTTTTCACTTTCATCAGAAGTCATTTCAAATCATTGGTACTTCCTGCCAATAAGTTGGTGTCATCTGAATATCTTAAGTACTGATACTATAGTATGTTTTGTGTACAGATCAAACAAATACGGAGATAAAATGCACCCTTGTCTGTCACCTTTGCCTAGAGGAATCCATTCTGTCCCTCCATATTCTGTACTGATCATGGCTTCCTGTCCACAATACAGATTTTGCATCAGAACAATAAAGAGCTGAGACACTCCCACTTCTCTTAGAGCATCCCATAGCTTTTCATGATCAATGCAGTCAAAGGCTTTGCAACACAGA